GTGAAGAATATTGTAAACCACCTGTTGCATTTTCTTTCTTTTCTATTTTTTTTCTTATACTTTTATTACTTTACTATTTTTCTTCCCCCCTACTTTATAATTGTTAAGATGTATGTTTATGTTTAAAAGTTTTAATAGAAATTACTATATACTATTAGTATATAGATTTGTAAACAGATTTTTAAACTGCAATCCTAAATATACTCATTAGGAATACAGTCTCACTGAAAACAATGGGAATTACACTGAAGTGAACACCTCTGGGATTCTGCTTGTAGCATCTGCTGAATCTGTTCTCATTCCTACAATTGAGTCCTCTTAGATTTTAGGATCTCATTCATTTTGAAAGGCAAATTAAAGAGGAAGAATAAGCTCAAATCAAGAACATACCTATTCACGTAACTATAGGTAGCCTTTGACCTATGATTGGACATTTAACCATTTGAAGTTATAATGTACTGAAATATGTGACATTTGACCAGTCCTCCTCACACTTATAACTGTCACAGTGTCCCTGCAGTCATATGATCAAAACGTGGGTGCTTGGCAACCAGCATGTATTTACCACAGTTTCAATGTCTCAGGGGTCATGTGTTCATCATTTATCACATTCCTAGGGAGCTGCCAACAAGCAAATAAATGGAGGAAGCTGGATTTGCTTAATGACAGCAGCAACCAAGTCGTAAAACCACATCACACCTGATTTTACAACCTTCGGTCCCAACTGTGCTTGTAAATTAAGAACTACCTATAGTGGCTTAGAGCCATTATCAACCAAAGTACAGCAGCAGGAGAGGACTGGAGACTTTGCTTTTTGTTCTTTATAACTTTATATTTTCTTAAGTTTTCAAAATCAATACTAGTTGCTTTAATATGTAAATGAACTAAAGCTTTAATGAGAAATTAAAAATAGCCAACTATATTCAGTATCACTACATTTAACAGTACAAAGCTATAATTGGTTTGGGATTATAACAGCTCTATTTTCCAATCTTGCTCATAACTTTTGCTCTGCTTGAATTTGTTAGCTAATACAACAGTTTACTTGTCAATTTGAATGGTGAAGTATTTTGGTACGATTATGTTAAATGGAGAAACTAGTACTTTGTACTTGCTCTTGCAGCTTACTTTAAAGTCATGCAGAAGATGTTCCTTTTCCATAAAATATTTGAGGGGTCCTTGGTGCTCTCTGGGCTTGGTTGTTTTCTTGCAGACATTTTAATACCCAAACCAAGTAACATCAATAGTGCTAGTCTGCAAGAATAGAATAGAATAACAGAGTTTGAAGGGACCTTGGAGGTCTTCCAGTCCAACCCCCTCCTAGGCAGGAAACCCTACACCACACTTCAGACAAATGGTTATCCAACATCTTTTAAAAAACTTCCAGTGTTGGAACATTCACAACTTCTGTAGGCAAGTTGTTCCACGAATTAATTGCTCCGAGAGCACCAAGCACCTCTCATTTTAACCAAGCTCCGAGAGCACCAAGCACCCCTCATTTTAACCCTGAGTTACAAATACTTTATTGGTAGAAATAGATTTTGCTACTTTTCCCCGAGTCATACCATCTAAAAGAAGGTAGCAGTGGTGGAATGGCTGATGGATTGGAGGTCTGTATGAAGGTTATGAAAAACAGAAGAATAGCAGATTAAAATTCTACTTCTATCTATTACAACTTCTAAGAAAGCCTGCAGGCAGCAACCCTGTGAAATCGTTAAGTGATCTCAAAATGCATTTTGAAAAAATATGAAGCCTTAAACTTAAAAGTAAAAATAGTTTCAGCCAGAGTAATTCAGGTATGGTGCAGTTTGTCCAAAATAGTTGTGTAAACACGGTTCTGATAAGTCAACAGTCCTTTTCAATCTAATGATGCAATTTTGAAGAAAAATTAAAGATTTTGTTATGTGAAAGTATTTTACAAATATTAATCCTAAAAATAAATTGTGGCTAATAAGAATATTCTAATTCATATTTACTGCCTTGTGGATATTTGTAGCACTGTGAAAATAAATGTGTTTAATAATTGATAGCTATACACAGGGGTGGGATCTGACCAGTGTAACTACCAGTTTGGTGATTTTACATTTCCTTCCAAAAATACATGAAGACCCAGGCACAGCAATGACTTCAAAATTCTGTACTGCATAAGATGCTATGAGAGTTACATAGCCATGCTTTCAGATTTTATTATTCTTTGCTTTACTTTTTTAAGAGTTTTTAATTTGGAATCTAATGTTTTATCAAGTATAACACCTATGAGTAAAACAAATACTACAGGACAGAAATGTGTAATTAATTGCTATTAGAAATTGCCAATAATACTTACTACCAAATAGACAAAGAATATGATTAATTTTAGATCACAGTATTGCTGATTGTAGAAAACTCTAGAATTTATAGAAATTAACATAAACCTAAAGCAGTATTGCCCTTAATGCATTGTTTTAAACTCAGCATTAATGAACTGTTTCTGTTGAAATAAGGAACCAAAGCAGTGAGAAATTCTCCTCTTTCTGCATTTCATTTTTTATAAGAGTTAAGACACAAGGGGCAGTATATTCAAAATGAAACTAGACAGAAGTTCCTGGAAGCTGTTGCATGTACCTCCCACAGTATCAAGATTTAGTTTACCGGACTGTTATTTTCTAGATGATGAAAAAGTCCACTCCAGACTAACAACTATTTAAAACAGACAATCTCATTACAATTCTGCTCCTAAGGATAAAGCTACTTATTCAAACTGCCTCATTTCTTAAATGAAAACATTCATCCTTAAGGAAAACTTCTGCTGATAGCTTCTCACCAAATCCTTCATCCAATTATATCGAGGTTTATTCCATAGCTAGGTCCACCTTAATCACAAGATAGTTTCCAGCAAAAGATGAATTTCTTTATCCTAACTGAAGCACTTATTCCTATTGACATTTTTTAACTCTGATCTGACCATTCTTGAGCACTTCAATGTTTTTTTCATTCATATGACCCCAATATGCTAGTCTCAAATAATTTCCACATCTGCTTTCTAGTCATCCAGTTTCTATTGTGCCTAATCCTCCCACAATTTATTTTAATAAGCCCTACCCAAATTTAATGTATCTTACAGTGTTGAACTTCTATATTAAATCCAATTCTCTTATCTTCAAATATGCAGTATTAACTAGATTTTAATCAGTTTTTATATACTTGGTTTTTTTTACATACAGTTTACAGTTTTTACATACTTCACTTTGGAGATACAGATCTCATGAACTGTGAACATCCATAACCAAAAAAGCATCCCAGAATCCCCATTTTTGTGATCACTTCAGAGCAACAAAAGTATTAAGTATTCCTAAATACTCAAATGGATAGAAACTTTTTGCATATTTTGCATATTACTTTAAATTTTATGTATTATTTTAAATTTTACTTTTCTGTCAAAAGCAGAATTTAATGCAACCACCTCCAAAATACAATATAAAAATAATAGGAACATTAATATTTTATCATTCACCCTATTTCAAATCACCTGAATATAACTTTATTCTCAGTTGGCCAACCTTTGGAAGTTACACCAGATGTGGTCAGGTTAATGCTTGGATGGAGATCATCAGAGAATACCACAGTTATAGTTCTCTGGTTAAAGCTAACATTGAAAGAGACACTACACCTTTTATGCAGCTCTAAATTTATTTTCTGGCATTAACTTTTTCCCTGTCTTTAATCAAACTTCAACTTACATGGGATCTTATTCAGCTATCTTATATAAATGTCTCCAAAAACATATCTAGATATCAATACTCTAAGCCTATTCTACAATCCCAGTGTTTTATCCATTATACTCCTACCCAGAAAAAAGTGTTTCCTGAAAATATACCGTCTAAACTCAATCTCTTTGCCAAGATACACCTCTCCAAACATTGTAACAGAACATTTGTAAAGTACCCCTCCCCCATTGCTGGATTCAGCTTCCATCGCCCCACTTCATATTGTATTCCTAACACTTATTGAAGAACAGCCTCAAAAGTAACATATATCATCTATATATCTTTTGTACAGGACCCTAACTAGCTAAACCAAAGCAGAAACAAACCGCAGCTGATTCTCTACTGCTTTCAGTCAAATAAATCTACTCAGTTCACGCCCCACCCACTTTTCCTAAAGCCTTCATTCAGCCCCACAAGCCTGCCACAAAATTGTTTCTCGCATTCAAATACCACCCAGACTAGAGCACCAGCAGTTTCTTCCTTGCCATGTCTTCAGTGGGCTCCTCAATTCCTCCCGCTAATTCTACTTGGCTTTTTCTCTCCTCTTTTTAGCAGCAGACTCTTTGATACCCCTCCCCTCCCCAAACCTTAATTTCCTCTTGTTGGCAGCTTTTGTGAATCTCAGCCTGATACCCACCATCATCTTGCTCTCTTATCCATCATTCCCTCCCAGTCTTCCTTATATAACTGTAGTTCCTTCCCCAAATCTGAGCCCTCCAAGTGTGATCTGTAACCCTCTATTGTCACAACCAAAAGGAGGGCAATTATAATTCCAAACATCTGAAAAACATCTGGTTTATGGGGGTGGGGGAATTACCCCGGCTCACGGTGCCTGTGTATATTGGGGGGGGGGGGGGGAGGGAATGACGACGACTTGCTCAACGTAGTTATTTCCTTACCCAAGCAAGCTTCTCCCAGACGATTCACACCGTCGTTTGTAAGGTGCCCCTCCCAGGCCCCCAATTCTTTAGTTTTTCTGGCCGAGATACCCCCCAATCATAAGTTTCCCCCGCCACATTCGCCAGCCTCTACTGCCTTACCAACTCCCCGAGATACCCGAAATGCTGATCTCTTTTAGTTGTAACTCCTGACCTCCCCCTCTCAATTTAGCTCAGCACAGTCTTTCCTCGCCCTTTACTACAGCCACCAGCCCGCACTTGGCTTCCCGGAGCACCTTCCCGGACGCTTGTCCCCGTGTCCATCGTTCCCGCCATCCAGACCCGAGTTCAGCCAGCCAGCCAGCGTCTCGCTTACCTGCTAGGGCTCCAGAGAGAGTCGAGGGACACACGGGATCCCCTCTCCCTCGGCTGGGCGGCGCGGCGCGGCGCTGGCTCCCAACCCAGCCAGCCGGGATCCCTCAGAGGGGCTGGGATGGCCAAAGCCTTGCGTGCTGAGATGAGGAAGGAGGAGGAGAGGAGGCGGGGGGAGAGGAGGAGGAGAGGGCGGTGGCAGCAGCAAATGAGCCCCACCCCCTCCCCGCCAGAGCTCGGCGACAACAAGAGCCGTTACTCCTCCCCCGTGCAGGAATAGCCCTGGTCTCAGAGGAAGGAGGGGCGTGTATGCGCCCACTCTTCCTCGTCCTTCTCGAGCGCTCCTCGCTATTGGTCAGCCACGCCCCACCTTGCCCAGCAACCGATTTTTACTGGCTTTCTGTTCGCGGGGTCGGCTTCGTCTCGGAGAGCAGTTCTGAGTTAAAAGAGGGCGGGGCTAGACTTGGGCGGCCGTCCAATGAAATATTCACCCGCTACTTCTTCCTCCCTCCTTTCCCCCCCCCCCCCCCCCTTTTGCTCAGCTGCGGCTTCTTCCAGAAGGTCTGCGCCTCCCTCAGGGAGGACGGGAGCGGTTTTTTGATGGTGGAAAAAGGGCAAGTGAGGCCTTTCGGTAGCCGGTTGTGGACGCTTTATTTAAAGACAGGTCTTACTCATTTCGGTGGGAGCTCCTCCCTAATAACCACGTTTAGGAATACTGTACAGCCGTATAGGCAAATAATCCCCATTTATCCAGGGTTTCTCTCGTGGCACTTTAAACTCCCTCTTGTGAAGCCGCCTTTTAACACGAGTTCACCAGGAAGGAACAGTGGGGACGCTGCCTTTGAGCTAAGGCGGCAGTCCTGGAGTATCGCAGTCATTGAGCCCGATTTTAATCACATATGGAAGCAAAAAACGTAGCGGGCCAGCCCTGAAGTCTCAAAATAGCTCACCTCTCCTCTGGGTCTAGTAGCCTAATGAAGCTTTGACGTTCCACAAGGATTCATCTTGAACAGAGTTAAATATCTCAGGCTGCTTCTTCAAGGATGATCCCATTTCAACTGAGGCGCTGAGGAAAAGTTAGTTAATGGCGCCAGTAAGAGCACACACCTCTTAGTTAAATGGAACTTATACTGGAAGACTCATTGCAGGTGGCAGTTCACTATATTTCCATAATTATAAAATGCTTTGGGTGGGTGGGTGTAGAATCAGATTCGGATTGTTTAAAATAACGGTTGGCTTTGTGGGAGCAAGTTTTTCTATGAAACAGAATCCCATCACAGTTCTTACGTTTGACATGTTTCTTTGCAGATAAATTTGCTTTACATATTACTGACACATAGTTGAAATTGGACAAAAGTGTGGCTAACAGTGATTTGCTGTCCTAAATTTCAGGTCAAACAGCTGCCACAATGTCAGAGCTGAGGAGGTAATCTTTTTTTTTTTTAAAGCTTATAAATAGCTTATACATTTGGGATGATAGAATGTGAGTTCTTGCAAATTGAGGATTTTTTTTCACCTACTACCATTCCTGAGGTCCTGGGCTTTGTTTCTAGATGGGTTTTGTTGATTCCTCAACTTTTACTATTGGAGGATTGAACCTTGATGCCTGTGGACTATGGGGGAGATGGATCTGAGAACACTTAGAACACTCAAAATCCATGACATTGAGTTTGTTTCAGGTACTCGTAAGCCTGACACACGCAGGTAAACATAACCTTCATGTTACCTGTGCCTCAGAGCAGATGCTGTGTGATCTGAACATTAAATTATTATTTTGAGTATTTGACATGGTTGCAATCTAAGACCTCCATGGGTGAAAGACCAATTAAGATGGTCTGTCCAAAGCATCTTACAGATCCTGATAAATTCTTGTAGGGTTGTTTGGATTTCCTAGTGACCTGATAGGTAAAATAAGATCTTACTAGGGAAGGCAGAGAAATTGAATTCCCTATTTATTTATTTTTGATAGGGTAATTGTGGAAATTACTTTAGTTACAAAAAAATTAAAGTCTCTTAGACCTAAATAAATCCTTTTGGGGAAAATTTGAGAATCAACTAACACATTTTCCTTATTCATATAATATATTAAACTATATCCCCATGGTTCATTTTCTTTTGTCATGCTACATTACGCATAAGAATCATTGTTAGGAGAAAACATGGCGTTGGTTAGGATAAGCAAAACATTCCTCTCCCTAAATTACCTTCCCAAACAATAGGCCATGTCAGCTCAGTGATAAAAGAACTTAGAAGGCCAAGCAATGTTGATAAAGCTCAGAAAAGATACTGGGAGGCAAGCAAAGGCTTTGGCAAACAAAGCCTAAATATAAGATAAGCCCCCCAAAAAAAATTCTTTAGAAAGGAACTACTAAAATACTCTTGTCAATAATCATAGCTTTTTTAGTTCTATACTGTTACTACATAAAAACTGCCCCATATATGCATCCACCACAAAAAACATTCACGTGTATGTTTAAATCATGCTGGTTAATCATATTTTTATTTGCCTAACCCTATGTAAACGGTTTCATCTCCAGCTCTTTAGGTTTCATTTAGTTGAGTAAAGTCAGAGAGAAATCTTGTGTGCTACTTGGGGGAAATCTTTGTTTCTTCCAAAACAAAAGGTTTTCTTAGACCCCATAGTCCCTTATCTCAAACAGAATGTTCAGATATCAAGAAATATTCAGATATTAAGAATGTTCCCACATGTTGTTTTACCACTCCATTTGGTTCTGTTAAATAAATGCACACACCAAATCAGGAAAAGAAAAAAGGGTTAAGAAATGCAGATTAACATTAGTGATTCATACCCTGAAAATTCTGTGATACAAAAGCTTTTCAAGTACTGATAATAGATGGCTTCCATTTAACATTTCCATTGTTTCATAATGCATACAGTTAGTCCTTGATTAACAACAATTAGGACCAACAACCCTGTTGCTAAGCACAAAATCACATGACTGTGATAGACTTACAGCTTAGGGTTAGGGGTCAGGGTTGTTAAGAGCTAGGGTTAGGGTTAGAGTTTGCTAAACACTTAGTGTTTGCTAAGTGCAAAATCATGATCATATATGATTTTATTTCTGCCTTCTGTATAAACTCTGCTCATTGCAAGCAGGTTATGAAGCATGCAAATAGTGATCAGGTGACAGGATGCTGCAGTGGTCATAAATTGCAAGGATTGGTCACAAACTTATTTCTTTAGCACCATTATAACTTCAAATGTTGCTGTAGGCTATTGATAAGCAAGGATTGTCGATTATTTTACTCCCAAATGTATCTCCTGCCAATTGCAAATGATCAAGAAGAGTACAAAGCCAACAGTCGTTTAATACAAGTATATGTGAAAGAATTTCAGCCAACAATGATTTAATATCAGTAGATGTGAACGAATTTCAGGGCAGAAACAGTATAATGCTGGAGCAGAGGCTTTCAGAGTGCACTGCTCAAAGTTCATATTGTCCAATAATGATGATGATTGTTAACCTGATCGTATTTCAACTGGTTTTTCTTCACTTCACTTTTGGAGGAGTGGTAGTAAACTACTTGTTAGAAAGCAGATCCTCCAAAGGAGTTACTTTCCAGCAATGGGATGTGTATGTCCAAGTAGTTTAATTCTTGCATTTCAGAGCAATGTGAATTATCCAAACATTTTAGTGTGGTCCTGTCCCCTGTGATGACAGACAATTGTTTCCCCAGTTTTCATGCAGGAGAATACTGCTAAGTTAGGAGATGAGGATGCCAGTTTCACCATGGTGGAAATAGAAATAATTTAGTAAGGGACAGAAAGTGCTTTACTAGATCTTCATCCAGACTAGCAAAGTTTTCTTTTGAAATAAGCCAATTGGAGCTGGTTTTTCCTAGCATTGGTCAACCATTCACAATTTCAAAAGGAGAAAGATCATGTTTTCTGTTAGGAATAGTTTTGCCTATGAAAATTTCCATATGTGGGATGACATCTGGCCACGAGAAACCAGTATTTGCAGTATTTTTGGCCAACTGAATTTTAATGTCTTTTTTCCACCTCTATATACAGACAGAATTTTGTGGATTTGGTATGTGGATCTGTAATTTTATAATCATACTTTTGTAAATATGGCACCTGACTGCTGAAATAAGTACCCATGCTAGAATCTTATGAGAGAATCAAACCCCATTTATCAAAAAACAGTTAAAAAAAAGTTAACAGGTTCTTTGCTACAGTGGCATCCACAGTGATGGGTAAGATGCTGTTCTGAAAAAGTACAGACAATTATCAACAAATAATTCTTTTTGGAATCTATTAGAATGGTATATAAACTCTATTTTCCCTTAAGCTTTCAGACATAAACAGATATGGAGTTTACCTTGTACCTGCATATACTGTATGAGGTTTTACACGACTTCCAGTACCATCTTCCAGAAGAGGGGATGAAATTTATTTTTACACTAGATAGAGGCTAAAAGTAGTGTTTTGTATGTAATTCCAAGTACAGTGTTCATGAGCAAGAACTGTACTGCATGGAATAAGATCTGGCTATGGGCCTCTGAAAATTTCTAATGAGGTTGAAGCTATTTACATATTCTTTCCTGGTGATCAATGTAACATTCCTTTCGGGTGTTCTGCAAACTTAGAAGGGTTCCTGTGCTTAAGATTTAGTGACTGAGAAGATAACTTCTTTGTGCAGAAGTCAAGAGGACTTACAGATGCTAATTGTCTTGATGGATGAAAGGAGCATACTAGACTATACACTTGGATGCACACTTTCCAAATGGAAACACAGATGTTGGAAAATTCTGAGATCAGACGTGTTGTTGAGGGAACCAGAACTCCTTGGTAGATTTTGTATAGATTGCCATTTTTGTAGATATTTAATGGCCCAAGAGCCATAAATATATTGTATAAGTTCAGATGAAATTTCACTGGCAAGATCTGTAGCTGGGATATGACCTACTATACTTTAGGACCTGAAATAGTGGAGTCAGTAATCAAGAATCAGGTAATCCCCCTTGCATTTAGGATGTTCCCTGTTGAAAAGCCTGATCCTGCTTACTGTACCTGTACTCAATATAAATCTTTGACTCAATGTTTCCCATGGTCAAGACTTTCACGTAGATAAAAACATTTAGGGAAGGATCAATAATTGGGGCTGTCCATCTCTACTGATTGCCCA